GGGGGGGGGGGGTTGGCTTGATCTGCTCCCCTCCAAGCCCAAGTCCCTTGCCTTCTCTGTCTCCTTCTACCATACCAGCTGCACGCAGCTCTCCAAGCTGCCGAGCCATGCTCCTCACTGCCTACGTGCTGCACTGCAGCTGCGTGCACACATGAGCATTTATCAGCCAAATCATTAGCTACATCAGGCAAATTTCCAACACAATCAATTTTCTTTATCCTGGCACCAATCTAATATCAGACCAAATGTATCAGTGTACCTCCACTTACTGAGCACTACTGCTCTGTGTGTGGACTAACTTGGGACTAACTTTATCTCCAAGTCAGTCCACACACAGCGTTAACGTGCTTTAACACCTGCATGTGTAGATGCTGGCCTATTCCTGCTTACTGTGCAGTAATTTATTGTGCAGTAAATTTAAGATGGCATAACAGCATGAGTAGACATACCCACTATATTAAAAAAATTATAAATTACTTTCTAAGGGGTACGTACATGATACCAAGACTTTCAAACTAAAGAACGAATCAGATATAGTTTGTTACAGAGTCCACAAGAACAATGCTATTTACATGTACAGTAACAGTCTCATTTACCATCGATTAATCTAACCCTTCCTAAACCATTTTATAAATGTAACTTTAGTACAAAGCATGACCTTTACTACTTCGTCATTTCAGTAAACTAAACACATGAAGATCTCATACTCTCCCTGCCCTTTTCCAATGAAAGGAGGGGAAAAAAAAGTCTTAAAGCTTTATCAGCACTCTCCTTGTATACAAGGTAACAGAGTGTACTTCAGGATTCATGCTTTTTACCCACTTCTATATTTTTCCTGCCTTGTTTTCTGGGCACATTAATTTGTGCAGTTGCTCTGCTGAAAGGTGATCAAGTTTAATGCATGACCTTAATGGAATTTTAATCCTTTCTAGTGATGTAATCTTTAATTTATACTAATTTCCTGTAAGGTGATCACTGCTTTATTATGGCTGATATGGTATCCTGTATTGACAGTTCATTAAACATGAAAGGGCAGAAGACTGCTGTTACATATTATGATTGACCTAGAGTGTATAACCACCTCTGTTTTACACCCTTTTCATGATGATTCTCTAATTTAAAAAATTGCCAGCAGGTTCTCTTCTAACAGAGGACTGCATTGAGCTGACTGCAAATGTCACTTCTCAAGATTCTAGTGATCACTAGGTAGGATTGGATGATAATTTATTACCACTTTTGTTTCAAGATCTAATTCTACCACATATTCCTGAATATTTACTGTACTTTTTCATTCATGTCCTTGTAAAAGAGCAAAGCACTTAATGAACAGGTACAGAATTTATATTACAAATTTGGTACTGTCAGAGCCAAATCCTGGGGAAAACCACAAATCAATAGGAATTATATCAGAGTAAGAAATCCAGAATTTGATATGATGTTTCTAGTCAGCATCCATTGTGTATTTTTTTCATTCTCCAGAATACTGAATGTACTCTGTGTTTCAGAGAAGGATAAATACCTCTTCCGCACTCCCCCAAAACAGAATACTATGCCATATTAGAACTGCAGAATTTGCTTGCTAAACCTAGGTAGTTAGTGACTGGTTCTAGTCTAAAGTATGAGGATTTCCAATATACATTTTTATCTTATCTACTGTAATTAAAGTAATCTAATTTTTCCTATATACAGGGATGCAATCTTCCTATAAAGCTTAAGGTAGTATTTTATAAATACACAAAGTTGTTCTTATTTTCTGGAAATATCACTTTAGGAAAATAGAACTGATCTTCTGTCTACTCTGCCCTAGTTTTTCTTAAATCCATTTTTTAAAGTAGTCACTAATTTTGGGTATCTCATTTTTGGGTGTACAGTCTGAGGCAACCAGGCCTCGATTTTTACTGGTACCGAGTAGCTCTTATTGATTCACTAGGTGTTGTTCAGGTTCTCTGTCTTTGGCAGTGAGACTTAATGAGGGCATCTACATATGCACGTTATTGCAGAGCTGACTAATTAGCTCCACAGCAAAGTATCACTGACTACACATGTGGTACTATTAGGCCAGAGTAAACTAAATTAACTGTGCCATAGGATACCACTGTCTGACACAAGTACTATCCTATGGCAGAGTTATTTCATATGCTGCAACACATGTGTAGACAGTGACTTGGGCTGGCTGGGGCACGAGGGTGCTACAGTGCAAGGGCTACATGCCAGCTAGACCCACGCTATAGCACCCTTGTGCCCCAGCCAGACCCTCAATAGCATGCTGAGCCAAGATGGAGCAACTCTGGATTGGCAGGTTGACCCCCTGGGCTCCCTGCCCCGCCTCAATGTGCTGCCATCCTGCACATACATGTAAATGCTGCACCCAGGAACAATACCCAGTGCTCCAGCCCAAACTGCACTGGAGTTTATTCAACCACACTAATTGCACACGTTAGATGTGCCCAATGTATCTCAAACTGGACATGCAAAAAAACCCTCCAAAACAATAAAATTATTTTTTACAAAACTATGTGTCCTCACCATCTGGTTCTTTCACCACAACCACTTCTTCCTCTTCATGACTGTTTTTCCTGGTTTCATGGATGTTTTCAAGTTCTTTCCAATAATCATCCATAGACAACTCATCTAAGGAATCTTGGGAACTTGAGCGGTCAAAGGCTGGTCTCTCTGTAGCTTTCTTAGAATTTTCATGGTGCATGGTATATTGGCCAGATCTGCGGCTATAAGAAAATATTTAAAAATACATTTTTAGTTAAAATTCAGAGTGAAGGTTCTTGTGATTACTGATACAATAAGTACCGATAGCCAAAGATGGAAGTGAGATAAAACCAGCCTTAATACTGAAACACATGCCAAAATATAAATTTTACTTTGATACTTGCTTTAACAGCTCTGCTATACATAACTCTCATTCTACAACTACAAAGTATTTTCATGGAGTCAGATATAAAAAAAAAAGGTGGATTCAACATTCTCTAAAATTAATTTATTATTAGACCAACTCAAACAGTTGGAAAAATTCTTCTTAGCAAACTTTTAGGTTTAAATACCCTTCGTCGGGCTGAGGAAGCATCTGCAGTTAGTGTGTGCTCTTCCTGGATGAGATATCAGATTTACCCAAAGAACCTTGTCTGCTTACGTCCTTAGACCAACACAGCTACAACCTACACCCCTCTAAAATTAATCTGCATTTAATTAAAATATTAATTTAATTTTAACATTATTCTAAATGTACATTCCTGATATGAAGAAATAGTTGGTGTTTCTTCCTTATATATAGCCAATAACACCAGCAAACATTACACCTATGTCAGTGACTGTTGCTGCATTTAAACCCATGGTTCTCAATGCACTTTTGTACCAGGACCCATTTGTAAACACCAATGACCAGTCCCAACCCAGTGCATCTCACTCCCAACCCACTGCCCACCCTTCCACCCTGCTCCCAGGCCCCTGCACCCCAGTGTATGGGGCAGAGGGGAGATGTGTGGGGCGAGAGGGGCAAGCAGCCCCTGGCAGGTTGGAACTCTGCCAGCCTGCAAGGGAAAAGCCACGGTTTCCCACATTTTTCTCCTTTAAGGCTAGGGACAGACATTCAAAAAGCCTAAGCCTGAATTGATTCAATCTTTGCAGGTTAGTCTAACCTGGCTAGGCTAAATCAGTTTTGTAACCAGACAGACATCCCAGAATTGCAGGCACATGTTTGCAGGGGCTCAGGGTAGAAACCGGGGGGGGGGGGCATGAGAGCAGCCCTCCCTTCCTTCCATAGCACTGAGCTGAGGGGAGCATGGCCAGGCTCCAGCAGGAGCTCTGATTAGCCAGCAGGGAATTGATAACAGTGTTTATCACTCTGTGCCTGCCGGGCTTTCACTACCCACGTGGAGGTGGCTCCGATTTTCCTGCCAAACGTTACTCCACTTCTGGGCCCTTTAGAAGCATCGAGGCAGCTCTACCCTCCTTGACAATCCCGCTCTCTCCTGCCACGTCTTGATGTTCTGCAATGGGCAGAATTGTCTGACGGGTCCCTCAGTGCCCGGGTCCGACCTGGCAGTTGTTCACGAGGCTCCACCACCCCTGCACCCCAGCCTCACGCCACCTTCGTTGCACCGCTTTAGCGATGTCTTGAGGCCTTCCTAGCAGATCCTGCCCTCCTCACTTGCGTACTGACGCCTCATGGGGTCGGGTAGTGTACACTCTTATCAAGCCTCGCTCCTAACCCCGTTCCCCAAGAGGCTACCTCCAGGACCGGTTCTATGGCCTCCCTATGCGTGGTACCCTGGGTGCTTTCCCCAGACTTCCCCAACGTGGGGCCAATCGCCTGCAGTCCCAAATGCAGTGCTGCTCCACCAAACCCCATGTATTTTACCTCACCTAGCCCCCTATCTGTCGTCCCCTGGGCACAAGCCCATTCACGCTTGCCCTCCTCGGCTTGGGCGGTGACCCTGCCTCAATCACGACCCTTCGTCTGGGTCCTCCCGAGCTCTGGCCTCCTGGCGTGCCGTCCTCCACTCCCCGCCGGCCCGGCCCTCCACCTGCGTCTTGCGGTGTCCTCGTGGCTGCCTCCGCTCTCCCTCCTCCAGGCCCTGGAGCCCGATGCCAGATGCCAACAGGGTGCCTCTCTCCCCAACACTCATTGCTCTGGCTCTCCAGCCCCCTCGGGATACTCCTCCGGGACTTGCTTCTCCTGCGGCATCTGCAGCAGCTCCATCCCAGGAACATCTGCTCCCTCCGCCGCAGCCGCTGCCATTTTTATCTTCGCCGGCTGGTGTCTGGTGCTGACGTCACTGGCCAGCCGCAGCTGCACACAGAGGCAGGTCACGAGCCTCGCGGGTTCCACCCGCTGTTCCCCGGAAGTGGCGTTCCGGGCTGCAGGTAAGTATCCTGCATCACCCCGCTTCCCAGGACGCACTCAATTAAGAAAACAACAGAGAGACATTACCAGCTACTTGTTGATTCTACCTGTTGATTCAGCAGGGACCATAGCCAGCATGTGGTCTGCTAGCTAATACACAGGCACCTCCTCAGCAAGGCAGTGAGGAGGGGGGAATTACTGCTTAGCAGGGAGTGGTGAGAGGAGGGGGAAAAATATCCCGCAGTCTCTGGAGCTGCAGCCAGGGAACAAAAGGGAGGAGCTAGTCCTGCTGTAGAGCAGAGCCCTGCCCAGCCCAGAGAGCATGTCGGGATGCTGGGGGTGTCTGGTTTATCTGAAAACAGCAAGGGGTCTGGAACAGACATTGCATAAACCGGTTTGAGCCAGATCAGTTAAGTATGATACTACATTCAACCAGCTTTATCTCAAACCAGTTTCAGCCATTTTCAAACTGGTTTATGTGCACCGAACATCAGTTCTATTACAGGTTTAAACCAGTTTCTGATCACTTAAATCAGTTTATGTGCAAAAGTCTGTCCCTAGGCTAAAAGAGAATCCATTTGTATTGTTTACTGATCCATTTTTAAAGTTTGTTTGCAACCCTTTCATATATTCTCGCGATGCAGAGTTCATGACCTAATTCAAATGTTATAGCTGATGCGGGGTGCGGAAGTGATGTTAAATGTTGAAAGGTACAAATAATTCAAAAGTATCCATTTTGCCAGTGACAGACTATATATGTATTAAACAAATGGAGCCCTATGGTTTTCTCATCCAAATAGCCTGCTAATCAATTTACCACACTTCATAGTCATTTTCCTAACTGCAGTGCTTCCTTAACAGTTTCTTATAGCAGTGGGGTTGCAAGAACTACAATTGAAGATGAACTATCTGCTGGTTAACATACTAAATTAGGACTAGACCTGGTTTAAGTCCTTGATCTACCACAGGCTTCATCTGTGGCCCTGGTAAGTCACTTAGGTCATGTAACTTTAAGTTTAAGTGCTGCCTTTCACCCAACTCCTGTTCCCATATAAAAATCCTGAGCTTGAATTAGTTGGTGCTTTAAACTCTAGCTTGCTTGCCCATTGATTGTAATTGAAGGCACAAACAGAAGTGACAATTTTTGGCCCATCTGGCCCCTGAAAGCACTTTACAGCCATGACCAAACATAAGTGCACAGCTCCAGAGCACTTTAAAAGGGCCTGATCCCATGACAATATGAACCCCCACTACATCCCATGCTGAAGACAGAGCTGTGGCTGGGAGGAGGGAGTGGGGAAGGTAGGGGAGAGCAGCTGTAGATTATCAGCTGCTGCAAATTGCAGCTGAATCCTCCAAACCTCAAACCTCCAGACTCAACAGCAAACATCTGTTGGGTCTGGAAAATCGTGGTAATTCATAGCACTTTCTGTGAAGTGAAATGCAGTTGCTCTCTGCAATTCAAGTGTTGATTTTGCAATTAAGGCAACCTTACTTGAGCCAGGCATTGCAATCTCCCTCTTACTAAGCAGCAACTTGGTTCACAACAGAATATTAGTCCAGCCAAGGAACCAAGTCTCTGGGGGAAGATGAGGTGGTATGTTACCAGAGAGCAGAGATTCTCAACTTTTTTAAATTCAAGGCACCCTTCCATAACTTTTGTGAATTAAGTGGCACCCCATTTCAAAAACAAATTTATTTTTTAAATGCTTACTTCCCTGCAGAGGTGCTGAGCAGTGAGGGCTGGGGAGCAGGCAGGTAGGGAGAGCCTGAGCCCACCTTTTTCTGCTTATTTCCTCACACCTGGAGCCTCAACTTGCTGTTATCTGCTTATCTCCTCAAGCTTGACTTCAAAGAACCTCACTGTACCCCAGGGTTCCCCAGTACCCTGGCTGAGAATCACTGCCATATGGGGATGCAACTAAGTTTTGAACTGCACTGATGTGGCCCAAAATCAAATATTAGGGAATATAGAAACATTTAGGTGCAGTCTATTCCATCTATTAGGAATGAAAGTGGACTAAGGCCCTCTAAATGTTACAGGTATCACACAAATTAGCTGTGTAATTGTGCAATTACCTTAAGACCATGTGCAAAGTAGCATTCATACTATAAAAAGCTCCAGCCAGCTATAAAATTAGACCTAAAAAATGTACACTAACTTTACAGCTGGTTGCTATCAAGCTTTAATTTGCATGTGTTGCATGGTTTCAGTTGACAGTGCTCCCAGCCACAGGAGTGCCCTATGCCCACAATAAAATGCACCCTTGAGCCTGGGAGATTGCAGCTGCCGACCTCAGGCCACTGCAATCCCCAAGGCCTGGAAGTTTCACTTTATATCCCACCACACATTCACCTGCACATGTAGTGGGGGCCTTGTGCAAATCTGTTCCATCCAGCTTGATTCTAAATCAATAACAAGAGAAACTAGAACTAATGAGCTCACAGTTACCCAGCAGGGCAGATGATTTTATAGAGATTGCATATTTTTTATAACATTTCATCCATTCTGTTCTTTAATACTTTTAAATTGAACTGATGATTACCCATCTGATTTCAGTGATATTGTTTTTAGAAGTTTAATCTTGCTTCCACTGAATTAAATGGATAAAGAATCATAATTTTACCTTTAAAAACTACATCCTCCTGAACACACGTTCTTCACAGTGCCTTACCCTTACTATCTGGAAGTGGAAGGTTTATTAATGGGTACCTTCATAAGTATCACTATTTTTGGTGAAGAATGTTTAGAGTGTCCTTCCATTTTCTACAGCATTACAAAGCATACTCATTTTCCTTTGCTTTTCTACTTAATTTAATGCTTTAAGTTGTGCACAGCTTTAATTATCTTATTTATGGTTAGGGAGA